GACACAGCAACCAGACAAGAAAAAGAAATAAAAGGCATCCAAATTGGAAAGGAAGAAATAAAACTGTCACTATTTGCAGATGACATAATACTATATATAGAAAACCCTAAAGAATCCAAAAAAAATTAATAGAATTTACAAAAGAATTCAGTAAAGTAGGAGAAAAAAATTAATATAAAGAAATCCATCACATTCCTATACACAAATAACAATCAGAAGAAATTAAGAAAACAATCCCATTTACAATTGCATCAAAAATAATAAAATACCTAAGAATAAATTTAACTAAGGAGGTGAAATACCTATACTCTGAAAAGTGTAAGACACTGAGGAAAAAAACTGATGAGGACACAAATAAATGGAAGGATACACTGTACTCATGAATTGTTAAGGATTAATGTCGTTGAAATGACCATACTACCAAAAGCAATCTACAGATTCAATGCAATCCCTATCAAAATACCAATACCATTTGGTATAATGTAAATGAAGGTAAATCCCTGATACTGGCCATCTCTTTCACTTTTAACATTCATTCTGTTATTCTCTGTACTTCTTCACTAACACAAACTTCCATTATGCTCCTCCTTTCCAGATTTTTTCATGATGCCTTTTGGTACTTCCGACCTATGATAAACTCCTCCAGAACTTTCGTTTCTTCTCTAAATCCCAACACCTTGTTTTAATTGAAATCCAATTCTTCCCTGTGGATACATTGCCCTTTGCAGACTTTTCATCCTTGTTATTCCCTCATGCCCGAAAGGCTTCAGGGTCAAGAAGAAAACTCCTCTGCTGCGTTTTCAAACATCACTCCTCTAAAATTGTGAAAAAGGACTATTTCCTTTAAGGCTCATGTCATCCTGTCCGCATAAATATTCTATCCTGGACATTTCATCTTCATTCCTTGAACATTTCTTCTTCATTCCTTGAGAACAATGACCCTTGATTCAATCTTCTTTTACATTTCAATTTTTGCCAATGTCTTTTGTGACTTCAGTATCCACATGGATAACTCACCCAAGAACCTGGCCTCTCTTGACCAACTTAATCATCTCCAATGACTGTTACCCTCTATTTCATCGTTGATGCCCAATTCCACCACCACACTCTGGACCCTTGCTATCCCATCACATTAAGTGAAAACATTCTCCTTTCTAACCACAGTCCCCTAACTTCCCATATTTCTTCCTCAACTACTTCTCTCCTATCTGTTCCTTGATATCTTTGGACTTTCAGTCCACTAACCTTCCTACTACCTCCACCTATCAGTCTCTTTGTAGCTTCACTTTTCTATTACACTTAGATTTCATGGTCCAAAATTTAAATCTCTTGAAAATATGTTTGCTTCTCTCTGCTCAACCCAGACACATCAATTAATATATCTGTTCAATGAGCTCTCCTATACCTTATACTCCATCTTTTCATTATATCATTTGCATAGTATTTGAGCATGCCCAAGTCTCTCCTAACCTCAAAAACATCTTTCCAGAACCCCCCCTTCCAAATATTGTCCTTCCTGTTTTCATGGCCAAACTTGGTAGAAAAGCTGTCTACGAGATCGCCAGTCTAGTTCGGATTCTGGCCCCTGTACATGACCAAAACTGATCCTTCTAAGGCTACCCATTCTCTTCAAATCCTAAATGTAAAGGACAGTTTTCAATACCGATTCCATCAGCAGTATTGACAAAACTGATTATTGTTTCTTCATAACTTCATTCTTGGTTTTTGTGATATTTTACTGCCTCTTTCTTCCTACCTTACCCCTCTTTCTTTAAATCAAGGTGTTCCTGAGGATCTTCTCTTCTCATTCCTGAGACTATTCCACCTACTCCCATGTCTACTTCCTATAGCATCTATGTACTTACAGAGAAATATAATATGGAATCAGATCTAACAAAATATAGACAACTAGGCACATATTAAGAACCCTCTCATTAGAACTTGAGTTTTTGACTAGACCTTATCTCTCTTCTCATCCCTTTGCTTACCCGAAAAAAATCTGACTAGGAACTCATATGTTTTTCATCTTCACCAAACTGACCAAGGTCCAAATTCCTTGACCTTTCTATTTTTTCTTTAAACTGACAAATTATTATCATAAATCATGCACATAACACAGAAATAAACAAAGACAGAAGTAAAAAAATATCACCTTATACTTAACCATCCATAAATTCTTGTTAGGTAAACATCTTGCAGACATCATTCTATGAATATGTACAAACAGAAATAGGAATAGAAGTATTTTTGTTAAAAAATAGATCAAGTTCAGCCGGTGTGGCTCAGTGGTTGAGCGTTGACCCATGCATCAAGAGGTCACCGGCTCAATTCCCGGACAGGGCACATGCCCAGGTTGTGGGCCCAATCCCCAGTGGGGGGCATGCAGAAGGTAGCCAATGGATGTTCTCTTTCATCGATGTTTCTATCTCTCTTTCCCTCTCCCTTCCTCTCTCTCTAAAATCAATAAGGAAAAAATAAATAAATGGATCAAACTGTAGCTCTTTATTTTAAACACCTACTTTATATACATTTAATAGAAGAAAATGAAATCAAATAGAATTTTACATAAATATTTCTTCCTCACAGAGAGATTATTTTCTAAATAAATGATGTTTCTTTAAGTTAATACCTCTATGCTGAGGAAGTAGCCATAAAGAAAAAGAATAAAAGGGGAATACTTGCAGATATGATGTATGTTAATTGTTATATAAAGGTATTTGCTGGAGACTTCATCAATTGGTAAAGAACAACCCAGTAAGATGAAAGTAGACTTACAGAATGCTATCTGAGAATTCACCTCAATCATAGAAGTGATTTGCACATCTGATGCTCAATTTCAATTCCTAGTTGTCTAGAGCAGAGGTCAGCAGACTTTTTCTGTAAAGAGCTGGATAGTAATATTTTAGGCCCTGTTGGCTGTATTAGTTTTCTACTGATATGTAATAAGTTACTTCAAACTTCATAGGTTTAAAAACACCCATTTATTATGTCACTGTTTTTGTAGGTCAGAAGTCTGGATGGGTTCAACTGGGTTCTCTGCAAAGGGTCTTACAAGGCTTCGATCAAGGTGCTGGCTCAGCTGGGCTTTCATCTGGAGGCTTTGGGGGAAGAATATTCTTCCAAGTTCATTCAGGTACTGGCCAAATTTACCTCCTTGTAGTTGCAGGACTGAGGTCCCTACCTTCTTGCTGGCAGTTTGCCAGAGCTCGTAGAGGTCCCCCTCTCAGCTCTGAGAGCTGCTCTTAGGTCCTTCTACCATGACCCACTCCATTTCAGCAACAGAGAGTTTCATGCCACTCATGCTTTAAGTCTATTTTTCCTGCTACCAGTCAGAGAAAAACTTTGCTTTTTAAAGGTTCATGTAACTGAATGAGGCCCACCCAGATAACACATTATCTTAATGTCAACTGATTAGTAACCTTAATGAGATCTTCAAAATCCCTTTGCCATGTAACATAACATAATCACAGGAGTAATAGCAGGGAATGAAGGTCATGAGGACCATCTTAGAATCCTGCCTACCACAGTCTGCCCTCTGGCCCCCATGATTCACATATATCCCACATGCACAATGTATTCACCTCAGTCCAAGGTACTCATCCTATTACATCATTAACTCAAAGTAAAAAATACCTACACTTGAATCTAAATCTCATCATCTCAAAGTCCAAAATATTATCCAAATCATCTGTTCTTACCTAAATCATGGCTCTTGATACAATTCATTAAGCACAACTCCTGAGAAAAATTCTTCCTACTTATGAACCTATGTAACTAAAGAGATAAATTAACTGCCACAGTTTCAACATTTAAAAATTTAAAAACCAAAAATTGACTGTAAATATAGTATATCCCCATGGGTCTGTAGGATAATATTTCGTCTTTAGTAGGAAAACTGATAACTTGTTATAATTTTAAATTTCAGAATTGACAATTTCAGGAAATGCCTTTTAAAAAATAAAAGCAGCAATTTATCAGAGGAGAAAAAAAAGTGAAGGCCAATTAAATATTCTGCCATTCTTAATATGATTTTTAAACTTTCTCATTACTTGGTCTGAGTAGCTACAATGGTATGGCGTTCCATTGTGAATGACAGTCCTCTAAGATCAAATGCTGCATGGTATAAATTCAATGAGACTCTAATCTTGGACTTATGCTTACAAATTTAAAAGCTTAAAAACAATCCTCAAATATGATACTATTATTTAAAACTATAAACCTATTCTGAAATCTGTATATTTATATTATAAAAATATTTTTAGTCGGTATAACATAGATGAGTAAAAATAATTCATAATTTACATTTACAGCATATCACGATTTTCTCATAATTTAAGTAACTGTGGCATAATGCATCTCTCTGCACTGTCTTGTAGGAATTTAGTTAAAAATATGGAGAGAAACTTCTATGTGATCAGAACCTGGAATAAAAGAGAGAAAAGGGAGAACAGATGATGGTACTAAATTTAAGTATTCTTCCAGAAATACTACAAAATCTTTGTATACAAAGGTGGAAAATATAATGAGGCCATATTTTTAAAGCTTTAAAAATTATTCCACAGCAGTTCTGGAGGCATAATCAGTCACGACCTGGGCAGCAGTATACAGTCTATACGAGTAAATAATATCAAAGAGGATACGGTGCTAGATAGTTCTTAATGTATCACCTAGTTTTGACCTGGAAAGAAACAATACATTCTATAAGGAGGTCAGAGGATGTCATAATCAACCATCTAATAAATGTTTAGCAAAGGAACAAATGTTTAAGATACTGGGCTAAAGACTCCGAAGGATGAAATACATAAAATAAATCACATATAATCTTCAAGGGCAACTTTACAGATGAGAAAAAAGTATACCTACCTATTCAGGGCTTAGAAATTTTGTTAAGGTATGATTACTGTGTAAAAATAAAATGAAAAGGTTGTTGGGCTTATCTTATTAAAATCGTGTATACCATGAAGTTAAACTGTATTTGGGCTATTTGATCAGATACTCACAGAATGACTGTAAGAAGGTTCCAATATCACAGGTAATGACATTTTCCCTTGAAGATTCAATTTTGTTAAATAAAAAATCTTTTCCCCCACAATCTTTTCTTTTTTCATGCGATGTACACCATACAGTCTAAATCGAACTGCATAATTTCCAATCATCTCAGATTCAACATGGTTAAATTTGAATGTTTCTGTGAAGACAGGGCATGGTCCTCTCTGGATGCTGGTTTTTGCTCTCTGTTTCTTTATAGGTAGAAGAACAAGGTGTACTTGCCATGAGTTGCCACCTGTCCTGTTATATGTTGGGATATCTGTGACAGCTGTCACTGTCACCAGAAGCTTCTGTTCTTGTGAGTCATAGTCAAAAGTCACATCCAGTGTGCCGTATTTAGCTTCTGGCTCAGGATCAAAAGGTTTGGGAAGCTGTGAAGATGATCCTTGAGCTGATATGTCCTAAGAAAAGCAAATTTAAATGTTTTCAGTTTTAACTCTATTATATAATCTGGCATGTAAATAAATACTGATATTTCTTAGGAGGATGTGAGAACGGTTTTGATTGGCTACCACAAAGAAAGTACTAGTAACAACCTATTACAATCAGAAGCTACTACTCTACAGGGCTATAGTAGTATAAGTGGTAAGTTAAACTCAAAAACCTATCAGGAAAAATAATTTTTTTTTGGAGAAAGTTGGAATATGTTCTTATAATGAGAATTGCAAATATCTACTTCAATGTGTATCTCTGATCCTGTTGTAGAAAACTACTAAATTTTACTTTCAACATTATAAACATTGCAACTAATAGCTCAACATTAAATAAAAGTATAATACTATTGAAAAAACTGGTCCCATTTTCAGTTTGTTCTAAAATGCCCCATCTGTAATAGAACGTAAATACATTTAGGCTTGAAAATCAATGGGAAGTGAAATATGAAAGTATAAATACAAAGGCCTCAAACTATTTGCAGCCAAATACTTATTTTTTGTAACACATACTATTTAATTTTTAATCAGAATTTAAAACTACATATTATTTCTAATACTAATTACTATTGAAAATGGCAGAATAATACATATTTGAAAAGTTCAAGAAAGACCACATCTGCTCATTTTAATTTTGCGATTAAAAGAAATCGTACCCTTTTTACCTAGAATTGTCTCAAATTTCTGCCAGTGTAACTAACTATTGGAATGTAAACAGTTTCAACTAGTTATTGACAGTGCCAAACCCAGGTCTCTGACCTTTCAACTCCACCACTTGCCCCTTCAAGTCATTTTAATAAATATGAATTATTTTTCATTTAAAAATATTGACCAATTTTATAATCTTCTCAATTTTTCTGAACTTTTATTTAGTAGTCACTACTATTGACTCCCAGTCTTCTCAAAAGAACTACCTGAGTTTTAGCCAGAGACACTGTCTAGCAAAAAACTCTTAATTCTAAATTTTCCTTATGGCTGAAATGACCATGAGGCTCAGCTTTGGCCAGTGCATGGCAAACAGAGGTCTGTATGAAACATCTAGATCAGGTTTATAGGAGAAATGACTTGCCCTTCACTTTCTCTCTCTCCCACGCTTCCCACAGCAGAGCAGATACTGAGATAGAATGTGTGGGTCGGTGTGAACCACATGGACCAGAACACCCCCCTAGGGATGGCAGGGTAACAACAGAGGAGGAACCCGGCCCCTGAATGATGTAGAGCAAAGTCACCTATTCACCCTGGACATTCGTTAGTGAAAGCCAAGTCATCTTCTGTGGGTTTTACCCACTGTATTTGACTCCTGGTTGTAACAGCTTAATAGTTACCCTAACTATTACACGACCATGTGCTGAGCCCTAGTTTAGGTGGAAGGGATGCAGCTGAGAACCAAAAAGACACAAGTTTTTGACCTTATGAATATTACATGTCTACCTATCACAACCTACTGGGTAACATGTATGGAAAAAAAAAAAAAAGAGGACAAATGAAGAACAATACTTGGGAGAGAGAACAAAAACTCAGAGAAGAATTGTTTTTTATACAATATAATTCAATCAGAGTAAATGTATTCTTACTCTGTAAAAAATTTATAGTTTAGAGCTAATTGTTTTAATGCGTGCCATTTCATAATGGTAATTAAAGATGATTACATGGCTTTGAAATTTCAATAAAATATTTTCTAAAATAGTGTCATGGCAGCTATTTTCAAGGCAATAACATTTATTATAAGGTTCTAGATAGCTGTTTCTGAATTTTGTTTCTCTTGGTGCCTCCCTAACTTTTGTCTGGGCATTCCAACAATTCTCCTGAATTCAAGGGTTAAAAAAGTGGGACTTCTACAAATTAAGCTAATATTTGTATTCTGTAAATAGACAATTAGAAAATAATCCTTCCTTTCAAAGTGTTTTAAAGTTTTGAATCATCTTCAGCTAGCAGCAGTCATCAACAGTCTGCTGGTTGCCTTGCCAGGGACCAGGAACCCCCACTCCCTCGCCAGTCCACACTGCACAGGCTCCAAGCTAGCTATGTCCTGAACTACACCAAGAGGAGAGTCAACATTTTCTTTATTTGATGATATCCATTAAAGGAATAGTGGGAAGTAAAATGAACTTAAAAAACACAAGAGTGGCCCTGGCCAGTTTGGCTCAGCGGTTAGAGCGTCGGCCTGCGGTCCGGAGAGACCGGGGTTCGGTTCCCGCTAAGGGCACGTACTTCGGTTGCAGTTTGTCCCCGGCCCTGGTTGGTCGTGCGGGTGGCAGCCACTCGATATCCCTTCACGTCGATGTTTCTCTCTCTCTCCCTTCCTCTCTCCCCCTCCCACTCTATCTGTACAAAAAAAAAAAAGGAAAAATATCTTCGCGTGAGGATTAAAAAAAAAACAAAACAAAATAAAAACACAAGAGTGAACTTTATACTAACATAAGCTAATTGCATCTAAGTAATGTAATACGCATTTGCTCTATTGCTTGAATATAAGTCAATTCTGCCACAGAAGACACAAAACCAAGTAGGATAGAGGAGACTTATATGAAGTATTAGCACAGATAGCAAGTTAGCAGCTTCCGAAATATGGGCAAATGTCACAGGCTGTGTTAACTACAGATAATAAATAGCCATGTAACTTTAGAGAGATAGGCAGAATTCTGAAGATGGGTTACATCTAGATTATAACTAAGTTAATAACTTGTAAGATGTGAAAGATAGAATAAACAGAAAATATGACAGAACAAATGAGTATTACCTATGAAAGAGGATAGAAAGTCCATGCTATGATCATGTCACCTCTGGGCTGACAGCTCTGTCACCCATGTATGTGATCTAAAGAAATGGAGATAAAACCTATGCCTATTTATTAGGCTCACTGCCAAGTTTCACTGGTGACCAGGAGTACTTGCCCCTGTAATGTTCACATAAAATAAGTTATGCGTTTCTGGCCCTTGGCACCCTTGCTCCTAGCTCAGCCCTTGTCCTTGTTACCACACCAGAACTGGGTGCTGAGGGAGCAGAAAGAGGCGGGACAAACGGGCATCACATAAACCAGGAAGCACACAGTGTGGTCCCGGCACTTGTACCTGCCGGCACCCTGTCCTAAGTGTGCAACCCACCTCATCTTGATACTCTTACTTCTTGTTTTCTATTTAACTTCTGACAGATGGAAATTCACCTAGTAAGAACCATGACACGCTACAGTTTTACAAAATACTGTCTAGGACAAAAGTTGTAAAAATTTGCCATCTAAAAGAAATAAAAATTCAAAAGTAAATACTACCTTATAAAACCCTCTAGATTACCTGTCTAATTTTCATCTTTATAGTAATATTTAAGATCATGTTTTTAGAACATGAATGATTTCGATGTGTAACATCCCTAGTTTTGGTGTCTTTTTCACATTTTTGCTCCCAAAGAGGAAATAACTTAAAAACAAGCAACCAACCACTCTGAATGCATGATGCCATGAATTCAAATGTCATTAGCAAAGCTGAGCATGACCTATCTCTTCCATATCCTATAATGTGAAAATGCAAAAAGGTTATTTTGTAAAATATTAATGGGCAGCCTCCCAATATAAAAATACCCAAAACAAAATAATTTTTTAAAAGACACCAACATAAATAGAGACCTCACTATAAAAGAAACAAGCAAATAATTTCGGGATGTTTTATATAAAATGTTTTAAAAAAAATCTATCTTGAGGTTGAAACTTGGGACGAGTTAATTTTTCAATATGCTGTGTATTGCGCTCATGTTTAGCTACCCATCTTCCTTGGTGGGGGGGCTCCAGAATGGTGGGGACACCCCTGGTAAGTCGGCTAGATAAAGATAAAGACTAGATCGAGGATAGAAACTGGTACAATAAGCCACAAAGGACAAGATATTGATAAAACCTTCTTCTTACCAAGAGGAGAAGCATAGGATTATTTTTCTCCAAATAACATTCATTTGAAAAATTCTGTGTGCTTTTACTTACTTCAGGGCTCAGGACTGCGGTGCTGTCACTTGGAACATCTTCTTCATATCCTTTATTATGAAAACTTTCTAGTTCATGACCTGTGCTTCCTTCACTTGGGCACTTGTTATATGAGCATCTTGGACTGTTGCTGCAGTGGGAAAATTCACATTTACTGTCCCCAATTTCTGAGGGTGTACATGAGAGGTGGGGAGAACCACTGTCATCCTGATATGGTGGTGGCTGCAATTCATCCAGTGGGGGTGTTCTTCTCATTCTCTGAATGCAGTTTCCTGATAATGATTAAGAATCTGGTCACTGTTTCCAAGTAGCCTCAACATGCAGTACAGTCCACAATAATTGTAAATAACTTTTTTAAAAACTGGATTAAAAATGTTGTGGCAATGTAACTATTAGATTTAGTTCTTCTTTAGTTCAGATGCAGAAATAAACCGATCTGGTTTCCCACTCCTCTCCTCCTGTACAGTCATATAAGGGAAAATAAAGTATATTCTCATATACTAGGAGAGATTCTGTGACATAGCATCAAATGGGAATGATAAATATTAGTGAAACAGCTTACTTAGTTCTTTCTTTCAAAACAAGCCTGAAGCACACATACTTCATCTATTCCCTTATGATCTGTGGCCTCTCTAGTCACAGGAGGTAAAAAATTGTAAGTAAAACACACACACAAATGTCATTTATTTGTTTCAATCACTGAGATGAACTTAAACCAGCATTCAGCTTAACAGTCAGTGTCAGAAACTACTTTTCCACATCCATCCTAGATCCGGATCCTAAATGAGGTGCACTGTCATCCAGGCCTAATCCCCACGGGCCAGCAACGACTGAAGGCTGCGTCCCACCTACTCCGACTCCTCACATCATCAGGAGGCCCCTCCCTGCCCACTCTAGTCTGGTCTGCACCCCGCCTAAAGCGTGGCTCCACCTTGTCTACAGCAGGCATCTCCACCGCCGGCAGTTAATTCGAAACCACATTTTCTTTCACTGTTAAATTATCCTCTGAACTTTTACCTTGATGATTTACCTCAGTGACTGAGAGTAAACGTGTCTGTGAACAGGACAGAAGTGGGGCAGGCAGGATGTAAGGAAACAGAGTTCAGTTTACAATTTAAGAACAGCCAAGTCTGTGTAGATAAACCCTGAATGCAATATCAGGTATTAAATTTAAACACTGCTCAGTTTTTCTTTTAATGGACTATGACTCTCCTTTCTCAAAAAGAACCCTGGAAAAGATAGTCTGTATTACAATTGTTATAATGGAGTTCATTCAAATGTTCAATAGGTCTTCTGTTGTTCTCAGAAACACTTTACGTAAGAACTATAAAACTCATTTTAAAATTATTACAATGTCTGGTTCAAATAAAAAATATTAATTTGTATGGACTTAGCAAAAATTCACGTTTGCTCAGAGGTCCTAATTTTGGATAAAGAAAACTAAATGTCTTACCTAGTGAGTATAACTTACTAACTTTATTAAACATGAGCAAAACGTAGAAAAGTTACCTAATTAATATAGTTGAAGCTAAATCTGAGAAGACAGGATAGGTTAAATAGATACACTGCAAGTAGCTGCCAACAAAACCCAATATCCCAGATTTCGCAGTGGGGCTCTGGAAAAGCTCTTATTTTCCTGAGCTGAGAGAACAAGCCTGACTGGCCCTCTGCCGACAGCCTGGCTGTCCTCCTGCCTGGAGGCGCAGCAGCCACCCTGCAACCATGAAGCAACCCGAGAATGAAAGCTAAGAACGGAGGAGCAGAAAAACAGGGTCTGGGGATCTGAAACATCACGAAGTACTTACCACCAAGCTTCTTGATGCCTGAGACAAATAAGTCCCTCTTTGTTTTTTTTTTAAAGTAAAAAAAAAAATGGTAGTTGGATTCTATGTTGTTTCTGAATATATTATCTATTGATAGTTTTTAAATAATTAAAATCCTCCCCGCCCTGTCAAGGACATTACAAGAAAAGAATTACAGGCCAATATCCCTGTAAATATAGATGCAAAACCTTCAACAAAATATTAGCAAACTGAATTCAACAAGACATTAAAAAATTATACACCATAATCAAGTGGGACTTATTCCAGAGATGCAAAGATGATTCAATATCCACAAATCAGTCAATGTGATACATCACATTAACAAAATGAAAGACAAAAATCATACGATCATCTCAATGGATGCCAAGAAGCATTTGGCAAAATTCATCATCCAATCACAGTAACAACTCTCAAACCCTGGGTACAGAGGGAACGTATACTAACATTGTCGGGCCACGCATGCCAGCTCAGAGCTAACACCATACTGGACGGTACAAAGCTGAAAGCTTTTCCTCAAAGGTCAGGAACAACACAAAGAAACTGATTCCTACCACTTTATTCATCACAGTACTGGAGTCCTGGATAGAGCCATTAGACAAGAAAAAAAAAGGCATCCAAATTGGAACATAAGAAATAAAACTGTCTCTATTTGCAGATAACATGATATTAAATATAGAAAACCCTAAAGACGACACACACACACACACAAAATTGTTGGAACTGATAGATGAATTCAACCAAGTTGCAGAATACCAAAATCAATATAAAAATCAGTTTCAGCCAACAATAATAAAAAAAATGAATAGTAATAATGAAAAAATAGTCCATGTTCATGGATTGAAAAAAATTTTTTTTTAATCTTCACACTACTTAAACTAATCTACAGATTCAATGTAATCATTACTGAAATTCCAAAGGCATTTTCAATAGAAATAGAAAGAAAAATCCTAAAACTTGTATGGAGCCAAAGAAGACTCCAATTAGCCAAAGCAATCTTGAAAAAGTACAAAGCTGTAAGTATCACACTTCTTGATTTCAAACTATATTAAAAAGCTTTGTAATAAAACAATATGGAGAGCCCAGAAATAAATCCACACATACATGAAAAGGAACCCTGTGCACTGTTGGTGGGAATGTAAACCGGTAAAGCTACTATGAAAACAGTACGGCAGTTCCTCTAAAAATAGAGCTACCATTTGATCCAGCAATTCCACTTTGGGGTATTTATCTGAAGGGCATGAAATCACTGTCTTGAAAAGACAGCTGCATCCCCATGCTCACTGCACTATTATTTGCAATAGCCAAGACATGGGAACAACCTAAGTGTCCACTGATAGACGAATGGATAGAGAAAATGTGGCGTGTGAGCACGCACACGCGCACACACACACATAAAACAAGTCAGAAAAGAGAAAGACAAATACTGTATGATGTCACTGTGGAATCTACAACAAAAACTGAACTCAGACATACACAGAGCAGTTGGTAGTTGCCAGAGGTGGGGGTGGTGGTAAAAGAAATGGGTGAAGCTGGTCAAGAGGTACAAACTTCTAGTTATAAAATAAATAAATCCTGGGGGTGTAATATGTAACACCGTAACAGTAGTTAACAATACTGTACTGCATATTTGAAAGTTGCTAAGAGAGTAGATCTTAAAAGTTCTTATCAAAAAAGAAAAATTGTAATTATGTGAAATGCTTGATATTAAATAAACTTACTGTGGTAATCACTCTGCAATACATACATAGAACAAATAATTATGCTGTACACTTTAGACTAATACAATGACATGTATCAATTATATCTCAATAAAACTGGAAAAAGAAAAGTAAAGAATGACTCAAAACTTCCTTTCCAAAAGCCTACATACTGATTGGGAGTATAAAAATACATACAGATGAAACCAAAGCAAAAAAAAAAGAGAGAGATGTCTAAAGAATGTAGGGTCCAGGAAGGAGGAACAAAAAGGATATTGGCTAGAAAAACCAACATGATCAAGTTCTTGCCTTCCTTATCCTTCAATCTGGCAATCTGACTTCGGTTTTCACCTTTATTAAAATATCTTCTCTCTCTCCGAGGCCGTTTTCCTCAATAGATGTTACACTATAGTAGTCCTTCTCTGAAATTCCTTTTGATGTGAGCAGCACAATATAATTTTTGCCTGGTAATAATGTCACATCTTACTTCCTTTGGTTTAGTTTAATTTTTTTTTTGTATCTGGTCTCTCTCTGGTTGCCTGCCAACTAGGGTATTTACGTAGCTGAGCCCCGTTAGCCGGCTCTTGTTTAGATTTAGTGTAACTGCCTCAGAGACCAAAGCACAAAACATTAGTGATCGGAGAGAAACTATTTTAAAGCTGTGAATTAGAATACACAAATCACTTTAGAATATACAAATTATATATTATATATATAGGAATATATACATTTGTATAATTATAAATTATAAAAATCCTCAAAGTTTTAAAAATAATAATACCTCCCTTTACTCTTCTATTTTTTTTATTCCTCGCCCGAGGATATCTTTCTATTTATCATTAGATAGAGTGGGAGAGAAGGGGAGAGAGAGAGACAGAGAGAAACACCCATGTGGTAGAGCCACATCGACTGGTTGCCCCCCACACAGCCAGACCAGGGACAGGGACAAACTGCAACCGAGGTACATGTCATTGACTGGAATTGAACCTGCGACTCAGACGCTCCAACCGCTGAGCCAAATAGGCCAGGGCTACTTTTTACTTTTGCATTTTACTTTTCAAAGTAAAAAACACCCAATGTATGTGGAATAGGAATTGCATTAAAAAGATAGTTATGAGGATTTCTCCTTTCTTAAAACTTTTGCAATAATATCTTTTTTCTCTAATAGACAACCACTTCATATTGTCTACACAGTGTAACACCTATGAATTGACTTAAACTTAATTGATATTGGAAAACTTTAAAGACAATTGTTTTACAAAGTAACACGATTTATAATATAGTTGTTATATCAAACTGTAAACATCCAACCTTAAGAAGAAATTTCCAGTGGGAAGATCAAATACCAAAATGATGCCACCCTATATTACTTCATCCCTTGTTTCATACCTAATTTCACACACTGTTTTGTGGAAATAACGTATCCATAAAAGGGTCTACGCATAGACGCATTTTAGGCATTTTAATTGCTGCCTCCAGATTGTGCAGCACCTATAGAACGAGACCAAGTATCTTCCAACCCTAGGAGAAAACAGGATGCACGCATATCCAGAATATGACCCGTGGTTCTTAGCTGCAGCTCTAAAAAGACGGTGACTATTCAACATCTGCAGAATTCGCTCTTCAAGTGCTTGTGGAAATTTGCCAAAACTGATTCTAGATAGTGGGTAACAAATTAAAGCTCAACACATTTCACAAAACTGGAACATAAAGAGGGTGTTTTCAGACCACAGTAGAGTTAAACTAGAAATC